TTGGCAACGTTTGTGCCGCGGAGGAAGTCTTCCAACTCGCCAAGCTCGTCCATGCGGGCATAGCAGAAGGCGAGAGCGGTGTCAATGGCGGGCTCGCGCAGGGTCTTTCTGGCCATGCGCAGGTACTTGACGAGATCCTCGTCCTTGCCGGCACGGACAGCAGTCTCGATGACCTCTTCGTAGTTCTTGGGGTCCTCGGCCTTAATGTACGATTCAATAGAGTCGCTCACGCGGAGACCGTCGAGCTGGGCCTTGGCAACCTTGCTCCAGACCTCGGGCAGGTCAACCTCCTCGGCGTAGGCTTGAGCGCGATCGATGCTGACGACATTCTCGACGAGGACGTTGACAGCAGCGGTCTTGTCGCCGGTCTTCTTAAAGATCTCGAAAGCCTCCTCGTGGAGGCCGACGTCGATACAGGCGGACGCGATGTCGGGCGCGCTAAAGTTGTCGAGGCGGTGGATGTAGTCCATAACCTTACCCTTATCCGCCTTGGCAGCCGTGAACAGCAGCAAGTTTTGGAGGTTCGCGTTGTCACTGAACGGCGATGGCTCAAGGACGATCTTCTCAAGAAGCTCAATAAGCTCAAGAGGAAGGTCGCAAGCAAGGAAGGCAGCGACAGCCTCAGACACCTTGGCAGGGTCGGTAGACTCGGGAACAGCAGTGGCGTTGACCTGGTCGATAACCGAGCGACGGTGAATGTTGTTCTCGCTGAGCACGAAAGTCCAGAGCTCGCGGTCGGCACGCTCGAGCAGGTAGCGGGCCTGGTTGCGGTACATGCCGTTCTCGTTGGTGATGTTGACGAGCTCAAGGTCGTTCTGGCCCTTGGAGTACGCGATGAAGGCCAAGTTGGGGTCACGCTTCTCGCAGTACTTACCAACGACCAGGGTATCATACTGGTCGTTCTCCTTCAGGAACTTCTCAGGGTTGTTGTTGGAGTCGATGTAAATCTTGGCGAGGGCGTTGTAAACAGCCTGTTGCTGGTTGCCGGCAGCAAGGGTGGCCTCGAGGAAAGGCAGAAGCAGCTTGAGGCGGTTGCGGGTCTCAACCTCAGACACGAGCTCGTCAATGGGGATCGAGGCAGGGTTAACGGTAGAGAGAAGGTTCTTGATGATGCTCTCATCACAGTCAACATCCAAGAGACCGCCAATGACGGCAGGGGTTCGGCTGGGGTTCACACGCTGAACGTAGGTCTCAATGGACTTGAACTGCTGCTGTTGGTAGAGGTACAGCACCAAGTCGTGGACGAAGTTGAAGCGATCGCACACAATGATGAGAGGAAGCTGCTCCTGAAGCTTGGCCTCCTTGAGGAAGTTCTTGACCTTCTCGGCGTTGTAGTAGTTGCTGTCGCGACAAATGCGCTCAACCTCGTTGAACTGACCCATCTTGGTGGCAGCCTCGATGTACTTGAAGTGAACATCGGGGTCCTCGGACAGGTTGACGATACTGCCCAGGTAGTAGAAAAGACCCTCGGCAGTCTTGTACTTCTCGAAAAGGTCGATCAGCTTGACAGGGCCAAGCAAGTCGGAGTACTTGGTGGCTACTTGGACGACAGACTGAAGGTTCTGGCGAATGTTGTGCTTCATCATAGCGTCCAAGCAGTCCAGAGACTGCTCAACGGACAGCTTGCCGAAGAAGCCAGTCAACCAATCCAGGTTGAAGTTGGGAGTAGCCGCAATGTTGACAACAACACGCTTGACGGCCGCGGGGTCCTCGTAGAGCTCCAGGGCCTTCTGAGCCAAGCCGGCCTGCTCGCAGAGGGTCGCAATCCTGGTCTTGTCGAAGTGAGAGAACATGTCGTTTCCAAGAATAGCGTCGGCAACCTGAGGGGCGTTCATAAGGTTCATCTCCAGCAGACGGGTCTGGAGGTGGCCCTGGTCGGGCCTGTTGTCCTTGAGGGCATCCAACAGGAAGGCAGTCGCCTGCTGAATCATGCCCTGGGACTGGAAAATATCGACAACCCTCTCGATGTCGACCAAGGAGCCGCCCTCGTTGTTCGCCAGGGCAGTGGCAAACTCGGCACCCTTCTCAGGGTTGACACGGACGATGTGTTGCAGAAGCTGCACGTAATCAGGCTGGTAACCGACCTGGGCAGTGTAAGGCAGGATCTTCTCGAATTGACCCGTCTCAGCAAAGCCAGCAACGACCTTGTGAGCGATATTAGCCTTGAGGTACATGGTGAGAGCCATGTTCAGGTCGTGAGGTCGCACGAGATCACCAAGTCTCTCAGAAGCCGTCAGCTTGCCCTCCTTTTGCCACTTCTCCAGCAAGTTAAGACGGTTCTGCGCGAGAACAGGCTGCGCGAGCTCGATGGACTCGTGCTCGTTGAGAGCGCCCTTGTCCAAGAGGAGACCGAAATACTGCAGAACGAACGACATCTGTCCCGGCTGTTGCGGCAGAGACTTGAAGCGCTCGATCGTCTCGGCGGTTCTAAGGAACTGGCGGGGAGAGTTGGCCGCAACCTTGGCAGCCTCCATGAACTGACCACTGTTGAACAGCTGCTCGAATTGGCGGGCGTACAAATTATCAGCACCGGGGAGGCCAGCTCGTGATGCCATCTTGATAGCCATATCGGTGTTGGCTGGGTTCTGGAGAAGGTAGGGGATGACATTGGCGTCGTCAATCGAGACGAAGAGCACTTGACCCTTGCGGTTGATGCCGACAATACCACGAGACTCGGTGTCGGGGCAGGTAGTGAAGATCGTGTCGCTGGAGATACGGTTCATGAAGATGCAGGCAGCGGTCTCGAGATCGTAAACGTGGATAAATCCGTACTTGGTGACCATAAAGATGACACCGTACTTTTGCGATACCTGCATGGCGACGGGGAAATCGCTGACGGCTTCGGGAGGGAAGAAGATGTCGACAGCCTTCTTTTGGAAAACGGGGTTCGATTCGGCGTGGTCGACCTCGACGATGTGCAGCTTAGCTCCGGTTGCTGTCCTTACCGCGAAGGTGAAAAGCTTGGTGTCAGCAGGAGCACCCTCCAGGCGGATGGTACCGAAAGCAGCAGCATGACCCTCGATGGCTTGACTGATACCGCGGTCCTTGGAGTACAGCTGCATGGCGCCAACAACGCGACCCTGCTGTTGGGAGATGCCGACAACAACCATCCACTTGCCCTCGGCGTTCGTTCGGTAGTTGATGATTTGGCAGCCCTGCAAACGCGATGATTAGCTTGTGTATTTGCGAAGAGGGGTTCAAAGAGTTCCGGAGACGCACGTTGAGGTTCGCGTTGCGCTTGAAAACCTCGACGGGCGAGGCTTGGGAAGCGTCGTAGACATCCCAGTGGTAGACTGCGGAATCTGTGACCAAGCCCAACGAGGTGTCGCTGATCCACTTCCAGTACTGGACATCCTCGTTCATGGTCGTTGACTTGAGCTTCTGCTTCTTCTCGAGGTCGAAGATCTGGAGTGTTCTTGATTGGGCCTTGAGAGCGATGACTTGCTTGGTCCAGTGCATGATGGCACTGTCGGCCTTGATAGGGCGTCGTGTCACATTGTTGCCGTTCTTGAGGTCGACGATGACGACTTCGGGCTGGGCAGCTTCGTTCTTCTTTTCACGAATACAAACGTAGGAATCTGACTCGAGTGTCTGAAGGGAACAGCATTAGCAAGAGTGATGCAATTGGAGATGCGGGTGAGGCGGGATGGGCGGAAGCGACGTACGCAGGAGTTGAAGCCGATCGACGCATCCTCAACGCCGGCCGTCTGGAGCTGGATCAGCTCCTGGAACTTGATGGGTAGAGGCGCCATGATGGCGGTATGTGTTGCAAGAATGCAAAATCGTGACGGCCGAGCTAGATGTCGTCTGCTCGCAGTGGTGGATTAGAGTGATAATCGGGGGTCGCGGGAATTGGAGACAGGCGACGTGGTGTCGTGTAGAAAGGAGAAGTGGGAAGGAGCTGGGGGGGTGGATAGCTTCCTTGCAGCCCGGAATGAATGCGCAAAAGGCAATTAATACAGGGAAACAAAGAGCGAAAACAGGAGGAGATGGGAAAGACGAGTGGTGATGCACCTCGCAGTGGTGACAAGCTGGAGGGCAAACGGTGATGGTTTGTTTGGGTGGTGGTGGTGGAGGAGGGAATGTGAAAGATGGATACGGGATACGTAGTGCGTGAGAGAACTTGGCCTTGGGTCACTGGGCTAGCCACGACAGGTGGAAGTTTGGAGATTATTTTGGGCAGGACGTAACCTGGCCTTGCCTGCTGGCTGGCATGGCGCTGGCCCGGCCGTCAGTTCCTCCCAGGTTTTGTGCTGTCCAGTCACCACTCGCTGTTGCGCACTGAGCCTGACTTCGCGACAGCCAATCGAATTTGCTGTTTGACGTTTGCTGTCCACTCTTTAATGCGGCCAGGTGCTGATGCTGCTCCTGTCGTTCCTTGCAGCCAATTGAGACCTTTGTGGCCCGTGCTTGCCTCTGCGGGATTGTCTCTGTCACGTGGCAATCATGATGAGGTGGCCGCTTTCACCAGGCAGCTTGTTTCCGGAATGATGTTTGGCCGCATGCGGGATGACATAAGCAGGCATGGACGTTTCTCCTGGATTGACAACGGACCCACGCCGGATCCCGCTTCAGGGACCCAACCGGGGCCGGCTGGATACTTCTCCAGAGCAATTTGCTTCGATGCTTGGTAGGCTTGAAATTGGATGGATCTTCTGGTTTAATATTCTGAGCTATACTGTTGAAAAGGGGAAGCAACACCGCTTTCGCCCTTTCGTATGTTCCCTCTTTCCAGGCCGAGACAAATGTATATGGCATGGTCCGAGAAAGGATCGAGCATCTGCCCGAACGATCCGAGGAAGCTCACTCCCAGTCTCTTTCTTCGGTGTCGTAATACATCGCATTGGCCAAGAAGCTCGTTGCCAAATATGATCAACCTTCGATCATGTCACAACTCAAGAAGGAGTACCTATCCTAGCCACCACAGACGACCATACATCTCCGTCCTCAGGCCCGAATGGCCACGTTATGACCCTCGTACCAAAAACAGGACAAACCTATCAGATGGTGAAGATCTGAGCCTTTCCCTCGGGAAGCGGGTCTCGGTAAGTGACGTAGTCAACGCCAGCGGGCATGTTGTGGATCTTCTTATTCACACCTTCCTGCGCTAAGGTATTGTTAGTAGACGGGACGATAACGAAGGCAAAATGGAGATGAAATGCTGACTTACCAGGGATGACTCGGTTGAGGCGTCGACCCGTGGCCATGGTCTTCATCATCTGGGCCTGGACATCTCTTGCGAAGAAGTTGTGATTCTTAACCATGAAGACGTAGTGGTCGACAACCTTTACCCATTCCTTGGGGTCCTTTCCACAGTGCTCGTCGAAAGCTACGGAGCAGGAGACAGACGACGACTGGGCTCCTACCATCCATCCGTGAAGGCAAGGCTTGACCGCGGCCTGAGCGAAGACGTTGACAAGGTCCTTATAGTAGTCGCGGGACGGAGCGTCGCGGACAAAATTGTAGAGCTGTCCAACATGAGCCGCTCTGAGGGCTCCACGGTTGGCAAGAAGCACCTGTCGGAGACGGAGGCAAATGGCGCGGTTGAAGCGCTCCATGCATTTAAGCTTCAAGTAGTCCGACTGACGGTAGGCGATGATGGAGTCGCGGATGATTGCATGGGTCGTGTGAATTAGCTCGTCGGGGTGCTGTGGGAACGTTCCGGTCATGAGGAAAGACATCATGAGGCCAAAGGCGCCAATCTCCTTCGGGGCGATGATGAACTTTCGCTCGACAGCCTCCTTCAAGCCGGCGTTAAAAGCAGTCGCAAAGTAGCCGAAGTTCTCCACCAAGATTGTGCGTGCAATGGAGAATTCGCAACTACTTTTGCCATCCCCGACCGAGATTGTCACGAGTTCAGGGTTGAACGGGAACCAGTGCCTCAATAATTCGTTAGTAGGTAATCGCGCTGACAGAATAGGATGTGATGCTCACTCGAGCCAGCGGTGGGAGCCAACATAATCCTCCTCATGATAGCCAGGAGCGGTCTGTGATGAAGATTAATCGTGAGATAGATTGCCAGAAGTCGAGGGAATCTTACTTGCCTTAACGTCGAAAACAGCCTCGGTAATGACAAAATCGTCCTTCTGAGCCTTCACCATTTGGAAGGAGGGTGGGTGCTTCGGACCGAGAGTGAGGCCGCCGACGGCGTCGGCAGGGTCGCTCATCCCCCAAGGGTCGCTCATCCCCCAAGGGTCACCAGACATCGTGCTTGCTCAGTGGTGTTGTTGAGTGAAGCTTGTGGTCGGGCGTGGAAGGTACGTGGAGGGTGGAAGGTATGTGCGAGAGACTGCACCTGAAGTTCGAAGAAAAGACGTCGGGGGAAAAGTCTGAGGTGAAGTGGGAGACAGATGCGGCTCGGGAGGAAGGAGCGCTCTACAGTCAAACCCGACGCCCTTTCCGTCCGAGGCAGGAAACAAAAGGTACCGTACCATTGTCGTTGTCTTTACGAGCACCTGTGCCCTCGCCCCTGATCCTCGTTTCCCTTAGCCAAATGAAGCTCAGCATTGGATTTTCCCATTCAGAGCTGGCGAACCGCGTTTGTCTTTTCTTGTTTAGATATCTCTTTCCTGTCTTTCGCAATATCTTCTTTAGATTCAGACCTGGTCTCGCGCAAAGTCAGAAGTCTATGCGATGCCCATAGGAAACACATACTGCTTTCCTTGACATAGGCGCTCTACCGCGGGAGGAACCCACATGAAATCAGCACCCTTTTCGAACCGATCAACAGCAATCCCGTCCGCATCGTCACATTGAAAAGCACCGCAACCACCAAAAATCCAAGACTTTTTACATGAGCAATCTCCAAGCACCGAGCAACAGCGCCGCGAAACCAGTGCAAACACCCATCAACCACTGCAGCGTCTGGAACTTGACCTGCTCCAGCTTCTCCCTCAGCGCCGCCACCTCTTGCTCGATCTTGGTCTCCGTCTCCTTGATCTTGAGTTCCTGCCCGACAGCCTCCTCACGGATGCGGCCCTTCTCCAGGTTGAGGTCGAGGCGGACGCTAGCCTGGGTGCGCCCGATCTCGTCGCGCAGGCGCGAGCTCAGCTTCGCGATATCGTTGGACAGGCGCTCATGCGATGCGCGGGTGGTGTTCGACTCGGTGCTATCAGCAGACAGGAGTTCGGAGCGCAGCTTGGCGAAGTCGACCTTCTGGGTGTAGGTGGCCTTGGCGGCGTCTTCGCGGAGGACCATCGTTCGGGTGAGGTTCTGTATACTTTTTGGCATGTTAGCTTTGACTGCCTCGAGATCAAGGGCGGGGAGTTATGTGTTACCTCTCCTGGATTACATCGTTGAGGACCTTCATCATGGCCTCGGCTTGCTCTTCCGTGAAACCATCGGACTTGAGCCGCTGCACAAACTTCAGGGTGTCGAAGTGGTGGTCACGTTGCCTCGCAGGTGTCGCATGGAAGGATCTCCTAAGAGCAGGGTTCTCGAGGATTGAGGGAGTGTTGCTGGCGGTGTTGCTGGAGCGGCATCGCGGGGATCGGGTTGCACCGTGAAGGGCATTCGGCTGGCTATGCAGCTGTCGGCGAGAGCTCGGATGGCATCCCGATCCCGAGAGGGGTCTCAGGGCCTGAGAAGCTGTCGCAGGACCAGTCCAGCTGAGTCTCGGGAGCAAAAATCTTGGAACGGCGTCAACCGCCATTGCTGCTGGTCTGGCCATCTTGGTTTATCCGTGGGTGTTGTGTTGTGACGAGAATCTGAGGGGGATGAGGGAGATTGAGACTCATCTAAGAGGGCAGGAAATGGAGATGGTCGCCGACAGCGAATGACGGCATGTCGTTACAGGCGACCCACTGCCTAACTGCACCTTGCCGAAGACCGGCCGCGGGTGTCAGCGACAGAAGGCGCAGGGGCCGATTGGACCCTTCCCGTTTGAAAGGGCAGGTGGTCCCGCCTGCCTGGGTCACTTGGGTCGGCGACGGTCGCCTTAGCACGTGTGCCTGAGGCAGCAATCCGAAAAAATCTCGTCGCGGCTACAAAAGTTGGTCCGCGCTGCGCAACCTTTGCTTGTTTTCTTCTTCTCTTTTTCATATTATTGAACAACGCAAAAAATCACATTCATGTTCTCGTGATTCTTTCTGGTGAGAGGTTCGCTTGTACGAGCCCAGGACCACTGGATACGGAGATCGAAATGGAGAAGGAATCGAACAATCTTGGGTGCGGTGCTCCTATGCCTTCGGGCAAGTGAGGAGGAGCGCAATGATTGAACGTACAAATTTTCGACCATGCGTAGTATTTTGTGTGCGCGTGGACGGTCTGCCGCGATGTCATTTTCCATCCGTGAAGTGTATCCTGGCTTATTAAGAGTGTAGGCATCGTAGTCTTGCCTCGCCTTGCTGCCTGCCTCCTGCACAGGATCCCAGATCTCATATCTCGTGCCGGGATGTGATCATGCCAATCTCGCTCTCGGTCTCAGGTACCGACGCCATGTCGCCGTTTACCTGACGATAGATCAAGAACTCACGGCCTGCTTGCCGACTGAGACGATTCCCATCCTCCCGTTTGGTTCGAGGCGTGGGCGTCGTCACGCTGTCGACATTTTCAGCCTCATCCCCTGCCGAGCCTGCAGCCTGTGAACTTCAAGGCTGGTCGGGACCTGCCCGCCATCTGGTCGACCGATGACGAGAGGTCTATGGCGAATAAGTCGATGAGACTGGGATCACGATGTCTGAAGCCTTCACGAGCCACTACGGCCGGCTCCCGTCGCGCCTTCCAATTTTGCGTATGGGTCACGCCACTAAAAGCCATCAAACATGCGGAATCCTCAACATTCCTGTATTACACGACGAGGAAAAGCGTCCCAGCGGGTTCCGTTCAATGCACAAATTCTCCTTGCGAGACTTGGCATCGACTGAAAAACCCGACCACTAAAATACATGGGTGAAGAAAAGGGCGGCTCCTTCTGCAACGAGAAGCGCCGCCATCGATGCAAGAAACAAGTGACCACCCACGTCCCACCGGCGGCAAGTAGCCACGGAAAAGAAGAAGAAGAAGAAGAAGAGAATGGCGAATAAAAGTGTCTGTATGTGGTGGTCGTGCATTATTTTGGTTATTGGTTTCTTTTCCACCGAAGTTTTTATGGCGTCCCCCTATTATGACGCCCTGACCTTCAAATATCGCACAAGAGAAAGGAAAAAGTCTGGTCGAAGTCGACCGACGTTTTCAAGACTAAACTGTCGAAATCTGTTAGCGAGTGGCATGTGTTGGTCAAGCAGAGAGATCGCATACCTCATCACCAGGCCGTCGTGACAGGAACAACCCTGCCCTCCTGCTCAGCCCTCTTCCAGCACGGCTGCCCAGGCTTCGTGCACCACGGGTCCGCCACCGCAACAGGGTTCGGCATGGCCTTCGCAACGGGAGCAGGCGCCGGAACAGGCTGACGCTTCTCCATGGCCTCGACCGCGCGCTTCCAGCAAGGCTGGCCGGGCTTCGTGCACCAGGGAGCAGCCTCCGCGACAGGGTTAGGAGCAGGCATGGCGATGGGAGCCGGCTCGGGCTGAGCCTCGCGCCGTAGCATCTCGTCCATGATGTCCTCCACGGTGCGCTTCCAGCAGGGCTGGCCGGGCTTAGTGCACCACGGCTCGGGCTCCGCGACGGGGGCGGGTTCCGGAAGGGCTTCGCGCTTCATGGCTTCTTCGACGGCGCGCTTCCAGCACGGTTGGCCGGGCTTGGTACACCATGGCTCCGGTTCGGCGACTGGGTTGGGGGCGGGCTTTGCTACGGGAGCGGGCTCGGGCTGGGCTGCGCGCCTGACGGCTTCTAGCATGGCGTCCTCGACGGCGCGTTTCCAGCAGGGCTGACCGGGCTTGGTGCACCATGGCTCGGGCTCGGCCACAGGGTTCGGCGCCGGCTTGGCAACGGGTTCCGGGAGGGCTTCGCGTCTGTCCATGGCTTCGACGGCACGCTTCCAGCATGGCTGTCCGGGCTTGGTACACCACGGGTCTGCCTCGGCAACGGGGTTGGGAGCGGGTTTGGCGACGGGGTCTGGCAGGGCGATGGCCTGGACGGCGGCGGCTGCCATGAGGATGGTCGTAAGGAACTGCATGATGATGGTGGTAACTGTGGATGAGCAGAAGAGGAGAGAAGAGAAGAAGCGTTGAAGGGTTAGACTTGGGAGTGAAAAGACTGAATGATGGTCGGTAGGCTCGTTGGAATTAAGTTATCGTCTCTTGTCTGCTCCTTGAGGATGAGCTGGAACGAGTGAAGACAGAAAGGGAGAATACATGACGCCTCAGTAGAACAGTGTCTTTATAGAGACTTCAAAGGCTAAGATTCGAGTTCTTTCGCAATGTTCAACTCCCAAGCCGAATGCAGTCGTCCCAGCAATCCGTTGATAGCCACCCGAGGCAGCCCTTGGCTCTGGGCCAATTCTCGAGCCTCGGCGCCGCCCGGATGGTGAGGGCAAACATCGCCTCAGACACTAGCGAAGTCGACCTCTTGAAAGAGCGATATTCATCCTTCTTGGACCATTACTGGTCAATGGCAGACGCGGGCGCTGGGGGTGGAAACCCCTGCATACCGAAAAGTGGGAGACCAATCGGCTTGACGGCATCCAACGACGCAGGTGCCTCTCTGCGACTATGGCTCGCATTGAACGGTTGCACAATGAGACTGAGCTTGGAAATGAAGGAGACTCGAACCTAACATTGTCGGTCGATAGTGGTCTTGGACTGCTTTCCCTGCGTCTAGCTACTGCAAGAAATCAGGCTCGTGCTTTCCATTGGCAAAGAAGGGGTCAGGAACTAGGTGGTCCGGAACCTGCTTGTTGGTTTGCGGGGTACAGGGGACCAAGGTCACTCATGATGGACGCTTCAGCCGGTAAGAATTCGGGACAAACATGTTCCTTGGCATTTGATTTCCACAGTCGAGACTCGACAGGGGGATTCTGGGCATAGTGTGTTATGTCTGCTGTGCCTATCAGAAAGGCATATGGCCAAGAGGTGATTGCGTGATACGTTCAAAAATTGGCACGCAAACACGCCACGTAGATATACTGAGAAGTCCTGCTGCGTGGATTAATACTTGAAAGTTTCCAGATCATCCGAAAGAATCAGAACAAATCATCGTCATCACCGGATAGTCGGCACTGAGTTCAAAACCGTAGTTTTGACGCGAGTCTTGGTCCAAAACTGATAGCACATAAAGTTCTTCAGCCCGATAATGAATGATTCCCTTTAAATGGCATGCTAAACAGCCAAAGCCCTTGCTAATGGGTGCTTAAGAGACTCCCGCTCAAGACCGAATGCCTTCACCAATAAGTGCCCTGTCGTGGGAACAGGCAACAGGCTCGAACAATACGATCCGACTCATGAGAAAAAGCCACCCACCGTCACCCAGTGGAATTTCTTAAATAATGACTACAGCCTCGAACTAAATTCTCGCAGCCAATATGAGGCCAAGATAACTACAATGGCCTTAGATCATGTAGAGAAACCCTGACGTGCACCGCCCAGCCCCGATATCAAGGAGCATGGCATTGCAGGAGTAGACAGGTCTCGCACGACTTCACTATTTGTGGCCTTGGGAAGCATTGCGTTGTGCAATCGGCAAATTTCATTATGCAGTCTCCTTGGAGCCACAGCATTGTCCCTCGATCTGCCCAGGTTTATCAAATAAGCCACCAAACAGGGGCCAGGTTAGTGGTTCGATAATGTTTGCTTTTTGACATATTTGGACTCTCGATAACAAATGACTTGGGTCTCCGGGATAGTTCCGACCCCTCAGGGCTTCCCTGTAGCAGCATGATTTGAATTTTCGTCGGTTTCTTTCGAGGTACTACGATTGGTGCATAAGGCTACTTTTCGACCGCGCGATCCATGGAATTTGGGAAGAGCTCCCTCAAAAGACACAGTATTGATATTCAAACTGCTCAGACAATGTCCGTCGGCCACTGAGCAGGGATTCTCTGTATGGATCTCTCGTTTTAAGAGTTTTATTTTGAAGCCAGTAGAATTCTTTTTGCACTACATATGTGTCCCGAGACATTGCAAAAACAAGCCCTTTCCCTCACAAACTAGGGCCGCCGACTCAAGTAGCCATTCCTGTTGCTGAAGATTGCGCTTGAGCATTTGCTGTTATGCTGTAGTGACCACAAGCTACTGACCATGTATGGTGTCGATTAACGTCCGTCTCGCCTGCCCCCTCGAAGTGTCTTTGGGTTGTTGCTTGGGCGGTGAAGAGACTCCAACATGCCGTGTAAGGTTCCTTTCTCTAACCTGCGTCCTCCATCTGCTTTGAGTCCCTTACTGGAAGCGCTCTCAACGACCATGACCACCGGTGGTGGCATTTGACGACCCTGCTGCCCAATCACAGGCTTCACAGCAAACGGCGTTGGCAGAGGATCCTTGCCCGGATAGAATTTTATTACTCTCGGGGGCAGCTTTTGATGGCGTTCATCTAACGAAACTGCTGTAACATTCTGGTGATTCTCGGCGTACCGGCCAAGTCGTGCTTCCTTGCGAGTAGATTGCCTGCTTTTCATCTGAACGTGGGAAAGCTGGTCCTTTGACCTCGAACCTCTGCCAAACTCCTTGAAAAGATGATCTCGTCGAAGTGAGTCACCAGAGGTGTTATCCTGGGATATAGTGTGGCTCATTTCCAAGACAGAGAGGCTAGCTAACGCCTCTCTTTCGTGAGTTGGGCCGCCGCCGCGGAAGGCTGTTAGCAGAGAAGGTTGACCCGCATGATCCATCGTCTGCCAGGAAACTAAACAGTCGAGCGAATTGCTGCACAGAGGCGATGATGGGGTTTGAAAGCGAATCCCGCCGCAGAATGCTGAATCATGAAGAGTCATTTCCGGCATCGAGCCTTGTGAGCATGACATTGCGGCCTAAACAAGCTTGTCGGCTAAATGGCGGCGGGTGGTGCCAATCAAACGGGACATATAATCTCGCACACGAAAAAAATGACATCACATGTGCATTAGCCATCAAGGGCAATACTGTTTGGGTTTGGAAATTCCAAAGATATGAATATCCTATCTCGTTTGCTCATCGTGTTGAATCTGATCTGCAGAAAAGCCCCCATGCAGTGCCGTCAAATAATCCTCAAACTTCTTGGCCTCGTCTATCACCGCCTTCAAATGCTCATATTGCAGCGGCCGTTTCTGATGTGAAGAAAGCTGCCGAGCCGTAGATATCACATTCCGTATCTCTCTGCCGTTGAGAACCTCGGCAGCAAGACTTGGCAAGTGGCGCCTGACTTGATCAGAATCGATGACCCTCTCCTCGGACACGTGAAGCCTGTCCCTGTCCTTTGCCTCTAATCGATTGACGAAGTTGGTCCAAATCATCATTCTTTGATCTCGGTCCAGATTATTATACCGGAGATTCAGTTGGATTCTGGATTTGAAAGCTTCATCAAAAGTCCCGACTCGGTTGGTTGTGAGTATCAGTATGCCTATGCCATTCATGATATTAAGCCCCCATCAACACTTGACATTTTAGAACCTGTCTGTTTTCACTCACCCTCGAAGTACTCCAACATTCTGAGGAAGACTTTGCGCAGCGAATCATGTCAAAACTAACTGCCAAAGCTGCGGAAGAACATTTCAGAACATACCTGATACCAATGCATTCCTCTCCAAGTTGGCAAGCGATCGTCGTTCCAAAAATACGTCGGCTTCATCTATCAAGACCACTGCAACCGTGCCACACGTCAGCAACGAAAAGCTATCATGAATTCCGACCTCTCACCGCAATTCCACGTCTTTCCCAGAAGTGATACATAGTCGAGATACTGCGTCAATTAGAATATGAGACCAAAGTACTCCCAGGTATATGTCCTGACCTTCTCGACCTGTTGAGGCTCAGTTGAAATGTCGCCACAAGTAACCTTGTAGAGTGGCTTTCTCGCAATCTCAGCAACACTTGGTCCCATAATTAGTAAGTTATTCAACCAGGCCATCACAAACATGCAGGGTGATCTTTCACCTCTCAGCCGTCAAGGTCTTGCCCGTGCCAGGCCCCCTGAAACACGTATGTCAGTTAATCCAGAGTCTTCGAGTCTGCGAAAGTAGCTCACCCATGAAGGAGGATAATTAAACCATTGCCCTTCCCATGAATCAAGTCCATGTTATCTTCCAATTGCAATTTGTTCGTAACGACGGCTTCAACAAGATCTTTTGTCTTGCGATCAATCACGAGATCCTCAAAAGCTGCATCATTCCAGATAACGTCTTGAATGCTGTCTACCTCCAACATTTCTATTTTCACGTTAACGCCGGTGTCCCTGATTTTCTTCGATCAAAAGCGGGTACTGACTCCACTTTTTTTTTGCGTTATATCGAATCCTTGGATCGTGGATGGTAGACACATGAGAAAGCTGTCTTTTGATGGCGGCTCGTCGCATCCCATGTCTATGAGATTGTGCATCTCTGAACCTGACTCGTTACTCACTGATAGACCATAATGCAGAGACTGATAAGAAGTCCCAGACTTAGGCGGTTGTGGATGCATAGTATTGTAAGTGTCCATGTCGACCATAAACCTAGAATGTGACTACAACCTGAAGTTAGGCAGCTCAGAAAGAGGCGTAAAGATAATTTTGGAATAATTACCGAAGACACCACATCATAGTTTCCCCCCTTGACGTAGGAGATGAAGTTCCTATGCCGACATTTCCACAACATCTGACCACGCAGGCGGAGACTCGCGATAACACCTTCTGTTGCGAAGCGAGCCGGATACATCCTCAGATCTGTGATGCTGAAATCTTCATCCAGGGACTTGACTGGCATGCTGTCAAGCGACTCGGAGGTCGAGACCCTGTAAAAAGATCCGTCAAACTCCCATGATTCAGCATCAATCGTTGCATGGAATTTGTCAAGGCTTGGACTCTTCATGACTAGCCAGCCTTTTACAGTCAACCCACGTAGACTGCTGTGATGAGAGCCTTTAACCTTTGATATGATAACATCGTTTGGGACCTACAAATAGTTAGCTCAAACGCCATCAAGTAAGACGTTGACTCCCCACAAAAATGTATTTCAGTAGAGCTGCGGTAATTCTCCCCACAGCCGTGAGCTTATCGACAGCATCCCACTCT